ACGAGGAACAATAGAAACACTATCAAACTCTTAAGTGTTTTCATTAATATTTGGAATGTTTCTCGGTATATGTTATGCCTTAAAATTTAATTCCTCTATTGTTTTATAAATTGATTTTTGTTGTTGTTCTTAGATGTTCAATGCGAGTTTGAGCAGCATGCTGGTTGCAAGATGAGTCAGCCGAACAACCACATACGCTTTAAGAATGGGAAAAAACATCCACGTGATAGTTCAGGACCTAAGAATCACTCAGGATGTTCGCGTAGGCCCCGGTGTCGACCATTATACGGTGGATTTTTATCGCCATTATTGGGGCCGTGATCACCAGGGCGTCCGAGTGGGGATGGTCGAACATGAACAATTATAATAAGTGAGTACAAAGAGTAAATATGGCATGGTCACAAGTATGAACATAGACACAATATTTTCCATCTCCTATCCATAATCAACAATCAGCCTCATGTGCACACCTATCAGAATAGACTACATTTGGTCCACGTATCGTCTCCCCACGGGAACTCTAACGTTGCCAAAGTAGGATGGTCATCCGTCAACCCCGAGGGTTTTAGACGGAAAATCCACTGTCAACCCCGAGGGTATTAGACAGGTCTACCAACCCCGAGGGTTTTAGGCAGGAAATCCATTACAAGAAGAGATTACCCACTCGGGGTACGTTCTATAAAAACGGGGATACGTTCGACGGTCGGTACAGCTCACGCCGAAAGTTACACATACACATTTCATACTTTGATCATACCCAACTATGTAAACTCTGTTTCGTACGGTATAACGAACCCAACAGTGGTATCAGAGCCACGTTACAATTTGCATCTTTAAAATCAGATTTTGATTTGAAAAAGTATTAAAAACACGAACGGGAATAAAAATCGAATAGAGTATTCAAAAACACGAGTCGTGAAGGATGACACGACTCGTGTGACCGGTCGTGTGAGGTCACACGACCCGTGTGAGAAAGTCACACGAGTCGTGTGACTGGTCGTGTCACCTCACACGAGTCGTGTGACTTAAAATTTTTCGAAATTTTTCATAGTCACTCTCGTACTTATTTGATGTCTTCAAGCTTTTTAACTGTACAACTGCTAATTGGATATATTATTGTGTGAATTGTCTTTTCCAATATTTAAATGTTTGTTCTCTTTAGTGAAGATTTTGTAGTTTTTATTATCTTCCCACATATTTTTTATTTTTTTAAAAATCTTTTATTCTCTTCCCACATTTTTGGCCCTTGAATGCAAGTTGACTATTTTATTTTTTGTTAGCAATTACTTTAATTTTGTTCTTGTTTTGTTTTTTTCTTTAATTACTTTATATACCAAACACACGACATTCGATGTAGATTACTAAGTGCAATCTACATGGCGAGTGGCATTGAAGGAATTACATTGCTGCATAAAGTCTCAAAAGGTAATTTTATAGACCAATTAAGCTTCATATCCTCTATTGCAAATAGAGCTATAAACGAGTTGGGTCTCAAGCTCTTGATACTCGAGTTGAACAAAGTGACCAAGAACGATGATTTAATTTGTCCACCCTGAAGAAATGAATATTAATGAGCCAAACTCGAGCATTGAGGAGCAGAGCTAAACTAATTTTCAGAAATTATGTAGATGCGTCGCGCCAAACCGGGTTCACGTGCGGCTCAGTTTGTTTAACACTTCAATTTGAAAATACACGACACTCTGAATTTTTACCTTTGTTGGTGGAAACTTCACTTCTCAATTTCCCCTCATG